CCCGGCCCCGGTCCCCGGCCCGGGAGCGGCGGCAGCATGAGCCAGGCCGAGCTGTCCACCTGCTCGGCGCCGCAGACGCAGCGCATCTTCCAGGAGGCCGTGCGCAAGGGCAACACGCAGGAGCTGCAGTCGCTGCTGCAGAACATGACGAACTGCGAGTTCAACGTGAACTCGTTCGGGCCCGAGGGCCAGACAGCGCTGCACCAGTCGGTCATCGACGGCAACCTGGAGCTCGTGAAGCTGCTGGTCAAGTTCGGCGCCGACATCCGCCTGGCCAACCGCGACGGCTGGAGCGCGCTGCACATCGCCGCGTTCGGCGGCCACCAGGACATCGTGCTCTATCTCATCACCAAGGCCAAGTACGCGGCCAGTGGCCGGTGATGCCCGGCCCGGCCCCTGCGCCCCGGAGCCCACGCCCGGCGCCCGTGTCGTCTCTGCTGTACCTTCCCGCCAACTACCTCGGTGTGCGCAGGGTCGCCGGCCCAGCCAGAAGCCCCGTGCCCGCCACGACGAATTCGGCGCGCGCGTCCGTGGCCGCGGCGCCTGCTCCTCCCGGATCCGGCACCTCCGCCGGCTGAGCGCCCCCCGGGGCCTCCCGGGCCGCGGCGCCGGGCGGAGCGAGCTTCACTGCCCCGCCGCCTCGCGGGTGGGGGCGGAGCGGAGGCTCCAGCCCCTTTGAAATTTGAGTCTCGCACCAGCAAGTTCGGAATCCCGAGATACCGGATCCTCGGCTCGAAATGTTTTCTTCCGAAGGTGAAAGACGGACGGCGGGGGAAAGCCGGACTCGGGGCGCCCCCGCCCGGAGGACGCGCCCGCCGCCCGCGCAGGGGTCCTGGGCTAGGAGGAGCCGGGCTGCGCTGGGTGGTTCTCAACTATTTATCATGTATGTGTCTATCTGTGGGTGAAGTTCGTGCGCCTGGTGTTTTTGTTTGGAAAATATTGTGCGTGGTCGATGTGGTTTGTGGGGGAAATATGCTTTTTTTTTTCCTAGTCTTAAAACTAAAAACTTGAGTCTGCCAGTTCTTCGTTGCACTGAAAATACCGCCCCGCCTAATGGGTCCCGGGTGCACTTCCCCCTCCCCCATCCTTTCTCTCCCCCCATCCCTCTCTGCCCTCTCACAACCCCCACACCCCCTCTTCCCCCTTCCTCCGACTCCCCCTTCTCTCCCCCTCCCCTCTCCTCTCGCGCCCCCCTCTCACCCCGCCTCCTTTCTCGCTCCCTCTCTGGAATAATTTCGTGTGAGTTTTGGAAGCACCAGGCCCAGCGCCCCCCACCCGGCGTCCCTCCTGTGAACGGCCACCATTCCCAAACCTACTGGTTTCACCGGGTTTCCGCGAGAGTCTCGGAGCTCGTCGGTACTCGCGGGGGGCGGGGGCGGGGGGACGGGAGGCGGGGATGATCCCTTTTCTAGTGAGTTCTATTCTACGTGACAGTCGGTTGCACACTTTTTTAAAAAGTAAATGGATTTGCCACAATTAAATGTCATAACATTTATGACAGAATATAAAATATTAACATATTTTAAGCCAAGTTCTAGATGTATGTTGTGAATCTTGGTTATAAACCCAATTTTAAAGGGCGTTGTATCCACCGTTGTGAAGGCAACAGCGTGTACCCATATTTATATTTTTATAAAATGCCTGTAAGACCGTGAAGCTCTCGTGCGAATTGCTGAGCGCGTTTAAGGACCGGCAGCCCCTCCAGCCTCTGGCAGCTTCCAGGACCCGATTCGAATCTGAAAACCCTGCGTGGGGGAGGGGCCTCCGGGAGGCGGGCTGCGCGGAGGCCTGGGGGCGAGGAGGTGTCTGCGCGTCACTGTCTGTCCCGAAAGGCGCCCTTCCTGGTCGCCGCGGTTCCAATTTTCTATGCAACCCCACACCCCTCGTTGTTTTGATCCCGGGAAATAAAAGGGAGGCTGAACGATTCAAATTTAAATGAGGTTTCCCCTTCCCAGCAGTGCTGCTGACCCTTCATGCCGAAATGGGGAGCTGAGAGGACACAGGTGGATGGGGCCTTTGTGCAGGGCTGGTCACACGGCTGCATCTGCGGCGTCTGTTCCGCCCTGTGTGGGGAGCGGAGACGACCACGTCGTGAGACCCTGGCGGTGAAACTGAGGCACAGATCGCTCCGCAGGGAGCTTTTCTGTATATTTTTTCTAGATGCAAATACTTTTTTAATTATGTTAATTAATGTTGAGACTTTTTAGGCTTGTCTCCAAGCCGTGTTTGTCTTGTCTGGTCACGGCTAACTGGATAAAAGTCGACAGCATGTCCCGAGAGTGTACGACAGAAACCTGTAGCCCAGCGTGAAAAATTTTAAATAAATTTTTCATTGATTTTTTTTATATGAAAAACAAAGTTTGTTGGTTCTTCTTGGTCAGGGAGGAGGGTGGACCGTTCACTGGTGACTTCTACAATGCTCCACACAATATGGATCAAGTTGGGGGTAGCCTGGGGCCTGCTCCCATCTCGTGTCACCTGGGAGCCCCGCCTGCACCCTTGCAGGAGTGTGACGCCCAGGCTGGCCCAGTCCCACCCACGGGGACCCAGAGAGGTCACCCCCAGGAGCGTCTCGGCCCCTTTTCTCTGACTGCTGGCCAGGGCACCAGGGAAGGGGGCAGGCCTGTTTCTGCGGAGGCTCTCCTGCTTGCCACCCGGCAGGCTGAGATGCCTTGGGTCCTGGAAGGAGGCCAGGCCCCTCCTGTCTCCCTGGGCTGCTGCACAGGAGTATCTTTCAAACTCGGGGCACCACGCCGTTGATCACCCCTGACAAGGAGAAGGTTCCTCCTGCAGCTCCCGCCCCAGAGGCATGTGCGGACGGCAGAGCACTGAGCGGGCAGAGTGGGCCGTGCGGGGCTGAGCCTTGCCTTAGGACAGAGGTGGGGCAGGGGGTCCGTTTTCGGACCATACAAGGGGAGCCGTGACTCTGGCCCATTCCTGAGAAGCCTGCCAGGACCAGGGGACCAGCATAGGGGTGCAGGGGAGAATGCCCTGACCTTGGGGCTGGGGGAACCCCACCCCTAGCAACAGCCTGCAAAGAGGAGGGGCAAACCAAGGTTACTTGGAAGTTACAAAGCAGTGACTGTTTCCTTGTAATGCTGTGACTCTCTTCACCTCTCACAGTGGCCAGAGGATGTCACCCTCCCTGTCCCAGTGTCACATGCTGCAGCTGGCCATCCAAACACTCTGCCCTCCAGAACTGGAAAGCTCTCACCACAGGCACTTCAGCCACTTACTGCTCTGCAGCCCCCACTCTGTCCCCCCAGGTTTGGCGGGTGCACTTTCACTGGGTTAAACAGGCAGTAACTGTCCCCAGAGCTGGTCTCCAAGACAGGCTGCTTGGTCCTCAGACCCCCCAAAAAGTCCAGGGTTCTTGCGTCCCCAGGAGAAGAGAGTGGGGTATTTGATAGGAAACAGTGCATGGGAGGCGGTTGTCCATGTGCCCCTCCCCGAGGCTGGGGGGTGGGGGGCACTGGGACGAGTTGCTACAGGAGCTGGGAAATGACAGACGATCTCCAGAATGAGCTCAGAAAGGGCCATTGGGTGAGACAGACAGTGCTGCCCTCTGCCCCCCACAGTGCGCTGACCTGATGGGTTGCTGCAGCTGCTGAAATATCAAGGTCGTGTTTATTCTTGGGATCAGCCTGTGGGTGAATGGGGCCCCTGTCCCGAGGCCCCACTGTCCATTCTGGAAGTGCCACCTCCATGGAGAGATGCTGGGCAGCCGAGGTGGCCCCGGGTTGCCTCCGGCACATGGTCACCACTGGACTTCAGGTCTGGGGGACTGCTTGCGTTTGATTGAGGAAGGCTTTGTGCTGCTGGCTGACGGAACAGTCCTCCCTCTCGGCCTGGGAGAGAGGAAGGCAGCCCAGCTCACGCCCAGGACTGGGTAGAGGCGGGGGCCCAGGCTGCAGCCCATGTTGGGGGTTGGCTGGCTGCCCCCCAGGTGCTGTTCTGTGCCCCCCTCTTCCCGGCTGAGGGCAAGGGACCCCAGGGTGTGACCAGAGACACGCTGGCCTCCCCGAAGCCTCTCTTCTAGGGCAGGCCCCGCTCAGTGACTAGCCTTCTTACGGTCGTGTGAGGCCTATGCTGCAGAGACCAGGCCTGGGCTGCACGGAGGTCTCCAGCACACGGGCCGCACCGCGTCACCTCAGTCTGCAGGACTGAGCACAGCCTGATCTTGTTCTTGGAAGGAGCCTGGAGCAGCATGGCCTGAGAATGAACAGCAGGTCGCGTGTCCAGTGCGGCCCAAACTGTGGCCCCCCGGCAGCAGAGTGGGCACGCCCCACCCTGAGTAGAGGGCTGAGGGCAGGAGGGAGGCCCCGCTCCTCCAGCCCCGGGGGACGAGGCGTGGCCGGGCAGCCTCTGTAGCCCGTTTTCTCACTGGGAACCGCCCGCCTCCCTCAGGAGCGGCAGCCTCCCCGGGTCTTTCCTCTGTGCTCAGCAGACAGGAATTGGGCGCCAACAGTGACGTGGTATCAGGAGGCGTTGACCAACGGCGTTGCTGGGGAGTCCCACCACCCCTCCTAACACAGGCCTTCTGGGAGGGAAGCGTCTTTGCTGGTCTTTGGAAGCCTCTGTGGTGAGAAAGAAGGAGCAGCCGGCCCGGCCACACCCCACAGTCCCGACCCTGCCCCAAACCTCTGAGCCTCACCTCCATGGGTCTTTCTGCCCTGACCACCCCTAACAGCAGGTGGGGCGCAGGGGGCAGAGCCAGGCTTCTGGAGGCCAGTTGAGGGTCTCATCCAGGGTGCACTGATGGGACCCAGAGCAGAGGGGTGGCAGGCAGGGCTGGGTAGATGCCTTGGAGAGAAAGGACAGACAGAAGTGGCCAGGGCAGGGCTCATCCCATAGCCTGCCCCCACCCCACTCCAGCTGCTCCAGGGAGGGCTCTGGCCCTGGTCCATTGGCTTGGACACCCAGAGAGACCGGAAGTGCAGGAAGATGTCAGTCAGAGACAGTGCTGAGCAGCAGCCGGCAGGGCTGGGGCTGGCCAGAGGAGGGAGGCAGGGTTTGGGGCAGGGAAACGGGTGGGGAGGAGCAGGAGAGGGAGGGTCTGTCCCCCAGAGGCCTTCCAGGAGGTAGGGGCGAGCGCGGGGGAGCATTACTGCCTCCTGCCGCCACGTGCAGCCTGGAGTAGAAGACACGGTCCACCTGGGCCCTGAAGGACCAGAAAGGACCGCTGGTGAACAAAGGCAGCGGTTGGAATGTGAGGACACAGGCACGGAGAGGGTGTCGGCCCCCAGCGCAGTCCCCGCTCAGGCTTTGGGGCTCTCCCGGCTGCCGCCCTCCCCACCTTCCCGTGCACTCGGCCTCCATCCACGGGGATCCAGCCCAGCCCGCCCCGTCCCGGTTGGGCTCATTCTTCTGCTTGGCTGTCCGTCTGACCGTCCCTCTGCGTCCGTCTGTCAGTCTTTCTTCTCTTGCCCCTCCAAAGCCGCGGCCCCCATTCATTCCCGGGGCCTCTGCCCTTTCCTTCGCGCGGGTCCCCGCTCGGCGAGCAGCTGCTATGCTAATGAGGGCGAAGGGAGGCAAGGGCGGCGGGGCGGGGGCAGCCGAGGAGACGGGGTGGGGGGCGGAGGGGTGGAGGAGGGGTCGGGCAGGGAGAGGCGAGGAGGCTGGGGGACCTGGCGGGGGGAGGCAGCCGAGGAGGCTATGGAGGGGCGGTCAGGGATAGGGGTCCGCTTGGTTGGGGGGCTGGGCGCTCACCAAGGGCCCGGACGCGCCCGAAGGGGCTGGGTAGGGGCGGGGCCCTCGCACCCGGAAAGCGCACCCGGCCGTGAGGGCGCCGGAGCGACAGAGGGGCCACCCGCCCCTCCCCCGCGCACCCTTCGCCGTCCGGCGTGTGAGGAGTAGACACCAGCTGTCACTCCCGTTCGGGGGTCACGGCCCGGGACGCGCAGCGCAGCTCGTTTCGGAGGTCCACCCCCGCCCCACCGGCCGCTGGGGCGCGTGGACTGGACGGGTCTCAGCAGACGGGCGATGGTCGCGCAGCCGGGTCCGCGGATACCCCCGCCCCTGCTCGGCCGTCGCCTGAGTGCATCTTTTCCGAGGAGCCAGGGGCTGGGGGAGGGGGGGCCTCTCCCCGACCCCCTCCGCTCCCACCGCGCCCCGTCGGTCCCTGCTGGGGACCCAGACGTGCCTGGACTCAGGGAATCGCTCAGGTAGGGGGCTGTGGGGTGGCAGGTCCCTGGGCGAGCTGCACCGCGCGTTCCGCCGCGAATCTGCTCTCCTTTCAACCTCTGAGCCCGACCCCGGGCCCCGCGCCCCTAGCTGGCTGAAGACCCGGAGGCGGGCGCGGCAGAGGAGCGCTCGGAGGCCGGGGCTGTGCTGCCGCCCCGTGGCCGCAGCCGGCACTGCGCCTGCATGTCCCTCGCGGTGCCGGCTCTCAGTTGGGCAGGACCTGGGCCCGCAGGCGTCCGCCCCGGGGGGTCTGTGGATGCCCGCCGATCGGTTGAGCCCCCCGCTGCGCTGGAACCTACCCCTCCTATCTGGTGTGCTGGGGACACCCAAGGAGCCGGGACGGGCTAGGGGGCGCAGTGGGGCGGGAGCGAGTGAAGTGAGCAGGGGCCCTTCTGGCCACGCAGTAGCCTCCGTGAGGGCTGGGGCATGAGGGGGCAGGTTGAAGGGACGGGAAGAGGGTACAGATGGGGGTGGCCAGGTGCGGCGAGAGTCGCTCAGGACCAGGAGGCAGGCTCTGAGAGAGCCGGAGTGCAGCCGGGAGCTACCCCAGCCTCCTTGCAGTGTGTGAGCGCAGAGCCAGCGCGTAAGATCCCGGAGGAAAAGCTCAGAAAGGACGGGGGTAACCCAGGCTCTGCCTGGCCGAACTTGAGTGGCCACCAGAGCAGGAGCCCAGCGGGCTCTGGACGGTCCTTGCTGAAGTGGCCCGAGTTGGAACACAGCCAGGGGGTGGGGGTGGGGGGCACACATGGACCAGGACATCAGGGGCTGGTTCTGCAGGATTTCTGCGTGGTCAGGGGTGGCCCTAACCCTGGGTGCAGGCAGCAGGGAGGACCCCAGGAATACTGTCACTACATCCTCAGCCCCATGTCAAAGGAAGAGGCAAGTGGGTTAGCGTCTGGCTGCTCTGGCTTCTGCAGTGCCCAGAAGGAGATGCCATCTTTGGGATCCAAACTGGGGCCTGGGGAAGCCTTCACCGTCCTCATCAAGTGATCGGTGACGATGTGCTGTTCTCTGGTTTGGTTGAAAAGGGAAAGGAGGGCTTTCCAGGACTCCCAGGGCCAACAAGAGTGGAGGGTCAGCAAGACCCAAGTGTCCATCAAAGCCTTGTGGACATGGCCACCATGTCGCACATGTCAGATGGGCAGGACACAGAGCACATCCCTCAGGGTCC